GACTCGGGCAGGTTTACGGTCTCATCTACTTCCTGCTTCCTCCCATCACAGTTCTCCGTCTCTGCTCCATCACATATTTCTCTTCCTCTCCTGTCTTTGTCTCAGCTTTCTTACACTGCACTCCTGAAATGGATCAGACATTTGTTCAGTCTGTGCATCCTCTTCTGAGGCCCGCAGCTCGCCTCCACTGCAGGCCTTGTTTATGGCTCAGTTTTAATAGTTCTCTGTAAACAACAGCACACTCATATAATCCTGCTGCACGGCTGAAATTCTGCTTTACATAACCAAAGCTGGCCTGAATGGAGCGCTGACCTGCTGGTACCTTGTAAGACTCATCATCACTGATGTTATTAAGCAGGCCAATCTAACTGATCTGTTTGGGCCCGGCTTTCTAATCCATGCCTGACTGAGAGGTTGATGCAATCTGTGACCTCTCAGCATCCAGGTTGAGGCTTTGCAGGTTGTGTAACGTCAAATTTGGTTGTAAACTGTTGGGACAAAAGCAAAGAGGAGACCTGTGCATGCACACGTACGCTGCACCGTAGCTGATGTGGGAACAAAACAAGGCGATCGCAATTAGCAGCTCCTGGAAATCCTGGAGACAAAATCAGTACCTGACCCACCATCAAACCTGCAGTTCCTCTGACGTCCAGCAGAGGTCAATCCCCAAACGCTCACACTACAGCAGTAATAAACATGTTTACTGTACAAAGACGTGAAGTTTGCATTATTGGGGGCGTGGCCTGATTGACTGACAGGTGGATGATGACACAGGCAGCCGTAGCGGCCAGCTTCACCTGAACATTTTTAATGACTGTAGTAACAGAGCTGAGGGCTGTTATTTAGAATTAAATACCAATTTATAGATACGGTTGTGTCTGTTTGGCTACACGCAGGGTTTTCAGCCTACACACACACGCTGTAATGCGGTCTCTAGAATCACAGCTGCTCTCACTTCTGTGCAATCAGACTCAGAGGAGTCGCCCCCTGCTGGACACCATAGAGCGCACAGGGTTAGCTTTGTCGAATTTTCATAAATCAGTCCGTGTGGGCTCTAACACTTTGTTATGAAGGTGTTAGTGTTGATCAGTGCAGCTTTAGGCTGTTTGAAAACGCA